GAAGACTCCATATCTCCTTTTCACTTTTGAAGTGTAATTTTTTAAAATTCTTTTTGCATTAATATGGATATAGCTAACACGAAATATAATACCTACTCGTTGTCTAATCAACAGCTAGTGATTAGTGAATTAAACATTTGAGAAAATCAAGGCCGTTTATTTAAGATTTAAAAATAAATAATTTAAAAATGTTATAAAAATATATTGTTTAAAAAATTTAATAAAAAGTTAAAAAATTATTTTATATTTAGTTACAATAATAAAAATTATTATTATTTAGTGATTTTTTTGATTTTATAACTTCTTAATGATTTTATTACATTCTCTCTCGTATATCCCATTATATTATTTTTAAAAACTATTTAAAGTAACTTTTTAAAATAATTAAAAATTTACATTTTTACATTTTTATTATTTTTAAAAATTTAAACAAACATTATAAAATTTTACAAGATAGATTTTTTTTAAAAAATGAGTGATTAAAAAAGGTTAAACAAAAGGACCCTCAATCCTTTAACTTGATTGCATGCTTGAGTGGTTTGAAATAATAATTTTTGAATGCACCCTTTTTTGCATGCTCATAGATGACACCTTTTGCACGTGTTTGATTTTGATTTAGTAGTTACGGAGGTTTTTATCTCATCCTTTTGAATTAACATTTTTAAGGGGATGACCAAACTAGGACCAAAAAGCAAGCTTCACTTGCTAGAGACAATTAGTTTGTAAAACTTATAATATATTTAATCTTATATACTTGAAGTATTTATTTTTAATTAAATCAAGACAGACAGACATACATACATACATATCATTTATAGACAATTTATTCTGTAATAAATTTTTATGAGAAATATTATTGACATATTAAAATCTATTTATTTTGATTTAATTAGATGAATATACACTAAATATATAAAGCTAAGTACCTAGTCTTGCCCTTAGTTACTATTACAAAAAAGGGCACATAAAGCTAAGTATACCTAATCTTGCATTTAATCACTACTACATGTAATTATAATGTCTCTAATTTTATTTTATATAATAGATACTATAGTCCCTATTATTTTTACTCTACTAAAATTCAATTTTTCAACTTTAAACCTAATGCAGCTCAATCCATATAAATTTAATTTGACCAAAGTTCCTTGAACTTTGACTTAATACATTCAATTTTTATAATTTTAATCATTTAAAATGTTGGTGCCTACACTTCAGAATAAATGTTGTAGGAGTTGATAAGTCTTGTTGAAAGTCTATCAAGAAATGCAAGGTTTTAATGATTTTGTAATATAAATACGATTTATGAGACCGTCCCAACAAGTATGATTATTTTGACAATGATTAAGGTTTAAAGTGAATCCTAACTGACTCAACTAGGACTCCTAAATAAAATCTAAGGAAAATATATATAAATGTTGGTGCTTATACTTTTAACAAGTTTTGGTATTAGCCCTTACTTCTTCTTCTTCTTTTTTGTTGATTTAAATTTCTTAAGTTTCATATGTTTGCAATATTAATTGTACATTGATAAGTGAAGTTAAATTTGTTGATATTTATATAACTTTATTTAATTTTGTATGGGCAAAATAGCTAGTAATCTTTTTGTTTATTTGCCTTGATTGGGTGGCTTTTCTATTTATCTGCCCTGCTAATCTTTCTGTTTATCTATCCTAGTTAAGTGTTTTTTTTTTTTTTCCTTTTTGAAGCTTCATTCCGTGCACTTTTACTGATTTTGACAACATGTCCTGCTTGATTTTTTTTTTTTTTGGTCTTCTCAATTTTCATATTACACATCATAATTCTAAAAAGTAAGCACAAGAAATAACATGACTTATTACATGTTAGCCATCGTTAAGTCTTTATGGTCATATTTAAAAATATGGTGTGGACAAAAATTGTAGACAAATGAAAATAACAAAAAGGTATAAAGATTAATACCGAAACACGTTAAGAGTTCAAGGATTAACTATGGTATTTTTTTTTTTTAAATCTAATTACAATGAGATTACTTATGATATTGACTCCTTAATACCTAATGCAAGATGAGACTCTACCCTTTCATTTAGATTGGAAGAAAAATAGGGAGGAGAGAAAACTAAGAGAAAACTTTTAAAAATAGTAATAAAAAATTACTATTTTCTTGGAAAATTTCTCCTAGTTTTCTTCTCTCTTCCCTATTTTCTTCTCACTTTCATTCCATCCAAACCAAGAATGAATGATACTAAATTCTATGATGGGGGGTTTGGAAATTAAAATGCAAAATTAAAGTAGAACTATTTATGAAAACAAAGTAAATTAAAGTAGCTACCCCAATCATTAACTCAAGACAATTAACAAAAAATAATCATTAAATAGGTGACAACCAAGTACTACTCTAATCCTATCTATATGACAAAGAGAGAAGATTAATTTTGCTTTTATTTATAAGGCATTTCATTATTTTTTATGTTCATCTTTTTTTTTCCTACTTTTATTAAGTGCTAATAAAATAATTTTTTTTGGTTCTTATTGGATGATAGAGATAGAAATTTATTAAATTTTAAAATAAAGTTAATGAAATTTAAGAAGTAATTTATAAATAGGATCAAATAGACTAATTCACTTGAAAATTTAGGCCATCTTAGCTCAATTAAAGTTGATTTAAGTTTGGAATTTGACTTGAGTTTTTGAAATTAATGGAGTTAATTAAAGATCTAAGAATCCTTAGGTACAAGTAGTAGCATATGAAATTAGGAAAAATAGCGATAAAAAATTGTTAGAAAAAAAATTATATCAATTAAGAACTAATTATTGATCAAAATTTGAATGAAAAAAAGCTAAATGAATTGTTATTAATTTACAATCAGCTGTTAAAATCTAAATGAATACTCGTTGATAAAAGATTAAATTAAATCGATAAATATTCATTTAAATTTTGATAACAAGTAATTTTTTATTGATATAAATTTCATCCAACGATTGATGTTTTCCCATAACATTAAACTAAATAGAGACCTCTAATTAGTTAAGTCAATCCACACATTTGTTAAGGATAATTAAACCCAATAACTCATTAATAAATTAGACTAATTAAATCCTGGATAATAATGCCAAAATCACTTTAAAATAACTAATGAAGCAATTAAAACACCCAAATAAAGAAATTAAGCACAATTTACTAGCTAATCATAATGCAAGAATCCTTAATACAAGATTGATTAGCATAAAAGGAGGCAATAGGCAAAAATTCCAGCCACACTGACACTTCAAATTTCAAGATTAATCAGCATCTCTATCCATCACACTCAAATACACTACATAACCTCAACAATATAATCCAATAATCAAAACCTAGATTATATTACAATTCATATCAAAATTCAAGCTTAGACCACCATCAACTTTAAATTATAAAATTGTATAGGTCTTCAAACAGCAATGAAAACGATAGGGAAATATTATTGACCATTGTGTAATTTGATACTTTGGCAGTGGAGAGAGCTAGTTCTTCCAAATTGATACTAGTTTGTTCTTTTTTGTGTCATTGCTAGCTGTTTATGAGTCTCTGTGTGTGCATGTCCCATAAACTTGAATAGCACAATTTGTGAAGTCTTTGCTGTATAGATTTTTGAGAAAGTTGTATAATTTTAAGTTGAACTTAAATTGCAAAATTTATGAGTTTATCCAGGTTTATTGATTTTTTTTTTTGGGTCTTTACTTGGTCAAAATTAATATTACATGTAATACTATATCAATAATTAATTTATATAGTAATTGTATCAAATTTTTCTCCTAAATTTCACATGATCAAATTCCTACATTTGTAGGTTAAAATGGTCGATTAATTGTTCAAAAAAAATTATATAAAAAATAGTTCAAAGAAAAATGTCAATTAATTTGCCAATTGCCACGCGACAGTGAAACTATAGCAAAACAAATGTTCAACTTTTTTTGCATTTATTTCTTTACAATTTCTCTCCCTCCTTTCGCTAACATTAATACTTTTTGAAAGATAACAGAAATTAAAGAGAGAAGCATTAGAAGATAATCCATTCCCTCACCCACCGCCCAAAAAAAAAAAATTGTATTAAAAACACCATTATCTCAAAATACCTCAGTTATCATTAACTTATATATTTTTTTATTAAATTTGAATTATTCACATGTATCTATAAATAGAGGGCACACACAGATGAGTTATATTCTACACATCAAAATATAAGAAAACTTTAATTTCTTTTTCTCGTTCCAGTATTCTTTCCTTATAAATTTCTCTCCTTTTCCTAGTCTCTATTATCTACAACAGAACAAATATTTTACAAGACTACTGACTAAGTTAGTGACAATGTGTTCAAAATTACACAAAACATAATATCTAAATAAAGGCAAGGATCTTAAATAATTTCTTAGGCAAAGGTTTTATACATACATACATACATACAAATATATATATTTATATAAAGGAGAGAGAGACAACAATTAAAGGATTTCGTCAAAATGAATCCCATAGCTTCACCTTCCTTTCTGAAGATGTTTTGGCATTGACAAATAAAATTTATATTTAACAGTAACCACGAAAAAGGCATGTGGCAACGGAAATCAGACACTCCGATACCTTGGATGAGGAGGGAAAATGAAATGAAAGAAAATAAGAAAAAAATGAAGGGGGCGGGGGATGTAAATAAAAAACCTATTTTCTATTCTTATATTTGGATTAAAAAAAACACAATAGAAATTTAACTAGCCCACACTAATATTGACTTCTATATGAAAACGACGTGTGCCACATATCTATTTTTCTCTACTTTGAAACAATTTTTGAAATTTTCTCTATAAAACCTCTCCATAGCTGAAAAGAAAATTAAGTAAAACAGAAATATGAACCACATGCCTCTTTAATATATATATATATATATATATATCACTTTTTCCCTTCATTTTCTCTTATCACCTGAAGTCTTTGGTTTTATCTTCCCCTTATTTATCTCCCCCGTATTTTCAGCTCCTTCCAAATCCAAACATGAGGATAATGAATGATTTACACAGGAGATGCATGGAAGGGTTAAGTGTTAGAACAAAAAGATTTGTACAATAGCTCTAGTGTTCTACTGAAACCAGTTTGTTTCAGCCTCTGCATTAAATAAAAAAAAAAAAAACATTGATTATAATCTAACAAGGAAGAATTAATCTGAAATATCTCAAATGACCTGAGTGCTAGAACAGGTGCAAGCTCAGATAGACACCCTCTGGTACTGCATAACTCAAACTGGGGCATCTTAGTAAGCAATGACCTGCAACAGAGGGATTAACAAAAAAATTGACAATAATAATTTAGCCTTACTACAAGATAATTATCCCTTATTAAAGAAAAGAAAACATAAGGCTTTTAGTCCTTTTACCTTCCTCATAACTTCAACGTATAAGGCTCACGTTCAACAAATCCGACTGACAGTGGCAGCATGCTCCAGGAAAACAGCACAACAACCTTAGAGTAGAGATAAGTCGTTCTGATTTGATACGAACGATTTAGATTTTATTTTATTATTTTATCTCATCTCTTTTATTATAACAACTAATTTTTTTTTTAAACAAAAAATTGATATTTCATAAGACATTGTCTTCATCTTACGGTTGCTTCTTTCAAAATAAAAATAAAAGAGCCGAAAATCTCCATACATGTATTTCTCAGTCGTGAAAATCGAGGGCACTTGCGATAGTGTTCCTAGCTTCTTCACATAGCATCATAGGATCGCTTCCATGAATAGGTCTGTGTATGACAACTTTCACAGAACCTGAGTTGACTATATCTTCGCTTCCTGCAGGCATGATCTGGCCAGTTCCAATAACGGTAATTGGTACAACTGGCACATTGGTTTTTGCAGCAACACTGAAGGCACCCTTCTGCAAATCATCAAGGGAAGATAACACAGTGGTTAAGTTTAACTCTGGCATAAATTTCAGTTAACATATTCTTTGCTCCCATGTCCCTAGGGATGACCAATTTAATGTAATAAACCAAGAAGCAGAAAACAGTGATGTGGGTAGATTGAAACGTTATACAAGATACCACAATCTTCCTGTATGTTTGAAAGCCGTAAATTTTGACATTTCAATTATCAAGCGTGGCAGCTGGAAGCTTCATTCCAATGTACACAGCTTAAAGGCTTGACTGGCAGCTTTAGAGAGAGTGAAATGGGATGATCGTTAATAAGGTGAGAGGAGGGGTGTAGCAGTGTGGAGGAGGGTAGGTGAGTGGAATGGATTTAGTACGGATCTTTTTGATGCATTTCCTTGTGCATCTCTTTTTTCAATAATAACGAGAAGATGTAGCTGATGGGGAAATATGGGTATAGTGTAATATTACCTCCGGGTCTACTTATGAGAAACGAGTGATAGTTAAAATAAAACTATCACTTGTTTCTTATAAATAGGCCTAGAGGTAGTAATAAAATAAGATATGTACAAAAATAAATGCTCCAAAAAGATATGGACCAGATCCATTCCCATGAAGTGAGTCATCCCACTTTTATCTGGAAACTTAAAAGTTTAAATGCCATTAACAGGGTGGGGTGGATTTCAACAATGAATTTCCCAATGTTCCTCCTAAACAACTGAAAATGAAAATAGATGAAAAGAAAACTTCAGTGATTAAAAGATAAAGAGAAAAATTGTGATTAACCCGACCCATCCTGCCTCACCCCATCATGTTACTTTCAGTTCATCCAACAGAGGTCAGAACACTTGGTCCATCCCAATCCAGTCCATCCTCTAAATCAAGCCCTAAGTGGACGAACCATGTTATGTTAAACATTAACAGAAATTTATAGAGTACTGAACCAATAACCCTTCAATCATCTGTATTTATGCTCACGTGTCCAAGATAGGATAAGGCGCACTGTTTTGGTTACAGTCCCTTCAAATCCAAGAACTAAAATGAGGATCCCTATCCCAATCAAACCATTCTTAATTTCTTATATAAGCAGACAAATAATTTTTTCAATTGTCCATATATACCGACTGACATCATGACTTCCCATCACTAACTACTTACAAAAATTATCATCTAATCAGATGAAAGAGTCACAGGAATCTTGGCATAAACTCACCTTGAAGGGGCCAAGTTTTCCATCTTTGCTGCGTGTTCCTTCAGGAAAGAAAAAAACAGAGGCCCCTTTCTTGATAAGATCCATGCATCGTTTAAGACAGTCCTATATGAAGGAAAAAAGCAGCAAAAAACCGTGATGTGACTAGGAAATTTGTGCTTGTATAGAGCATAGAGAATAAAATTTCAGAGAACACATTGGCATCTCATATAGCAGAACTAATTAAATTTATCTGATTGAAGGTAAAAAGAAAAAAAAAAGTAAATTTATCTACATAAAGAATAGTAGGGGGATACCAGTTGGCTTTGCCTGTCCATGCGTTTTAAAGGAATCATTCCCAAAAGAAACATTGCCCACCCAATAATGGGATAGAGAAATATACTAGTCTTGCTGATGAATTTGAAGCTTCTCCCTAGAGTAAGAAGGGTATATATGTCTAAGAAGCTCTGGTGATTGGACACATATACAGCAGGAGCATCTTGAGATGGTAGATTCTGCAATCCCTCAAAATTGACTTTATAAAATGGGGTCACGGTAAGTGTAGACCATATTTTGGCAATAAAATGATGGTATTTTCTTTGATGACGATCAAATAGGATAACAAATGGATGCCCAACAAGCATCAGTATAAAAAGAAATATGGCACTGAAAGCAGTAACAGCATAAAAACATGCTCCCCTGATCTTTGATTGCACTTTTAATTCTGCAATTTGAAGTTGAAAGTACAATCAATTAGCATTATTTTTAAAGAATATATAATAGGCTATTTGACCTAATTGAATTATTAAGCTTACTGGATAGTGAATAGTCATCTTCTGGAGACCCCACTGCGGTAAGTTCAGACCTTACAACTACATCTCTAGCAAATTTATTCTGACTATGGAATTTGCATCTGTGATGAAGTCCACAAACCTCTACCTTTGGATCATAACATTGCCATGACACACTGCCATACTTCCTTGGAATGCCTGGTACACCACTTTGAGCAGCTATAAAAGCAAAATAAAAAAACACAAGCGCAATGAGTCAAGGCCATCATATCTTTTAGTGAGACACAATTTAAAGGACCAATCATATAAGTAATTTATTTAGCAATTTCAGATATCTAAGTTAAAAACCTCTGAGTAACATCAGCTTCATCAGACTTTAACAATTTAAAGGGCCAATCACAAAATTTGTGAGAATTCTTATGGTCAAAGAGATTATTAAGCATGCATCAATATATAGATAATCATTAAATGAGGGATTACAGGCTGACTTAGAAAGAAACTTGTTCAAAATTCAAATAGTATAGAATGACACTATTTATCATTAGAAACACAAATTTGAGTCAAAATTCACAAATTGCAAAACTATAGTTGACAAGCAAGGATGGTCAACAGTGTCTACAATAGTTCTTTAAAAGCAGGCTGCACTGTTAGAAAAAGAATATAAATGAAAATTGAAACAAATGTTTTCCTATTACATTAGGATATCAGTTTACCCAACCAACTAAGATAACTCATTAAAAGTTTAGGAGAGGGAAGATATATGAAAACTGAAATGAATATTTTTCCATCACATGAGAATATTACCTAACAGACATCACAAGGATAATTTACATGGAGCCAAAACTTATGCAATGTCATTGCATTTTACTATGAAAGGAATACTTACAATTAAGTGCACTCCTCAAACTTTCATGTCTGATGAGTAAACCTTTATGAGTGCAAAACTGCTATGAGTCGTATTCACGCAAAATGGTCATAAGTCAAAAATCACAATAATAATAGTGGCTTCCAAAAGAAAAATCGTATCATTCTACATCAAAAAGTGGAAATTTTTCAGGGACATCGCATAAGTTACAACATGAAGGAGGAAAAATGGTGTCATTGTACATCAAAATGTGGAAATTTTTCAGGGATATTAAATTACAACATGAAGAACACGACGATGGAGAAGACCAGAAAGAAATGAGCAGCGAGACTCAAGCAAAGACAGACTTCTGAAGAAAGAACCAATTACTATTTTTACCCAGGAAGAAAAACGTAATGGGTGAAATATGATCTCCACCATAAACACTTGCTGGAATCAGTAATTCCTTCATGATTTTAAACAAAGCCTTCAATCAGCCAAATGATATCAAAAGGAAGTAAATGTAAAATCAGAAAGGAAACAGCTCATAATCTCACTTAATCACGGCAATACAAGAATTCATCTTCCATCAGAACTTAATAAGCACACATGAAAGAAAATATGAGGATCACAATTACCAGAGTAGTAGACAACTTCGGAAAGTATCTCACTTCTCGGCGACCTAGAAGTAACGAGGAAACAGAACAAAGAAGCAATTAAACAAAGAGAAACTGGAAGTGAAGGAAGCGTTATGAAGAACTAGAGTGAAGGAGCTGCTTACAGGGACGATAGGTTGGCGACAGGGGCGAGAGTGAAGCAACTTCCATGAATCATCAAAGAAGGAAAGAAAAAATCATTAGAGGCTTTGGCGATAAGTTGATGTAATTAGGGTTAAATACATTACACTGAGACGAGCGATTTGTGTATCGGGATGTCGCCAATTTCAAGGCATGTTCCAGCTCAGTTCTTTTTCCAGGATTTTTCAATTGGTGATTAGATTTATTAAAAAAAATGGGAGCAGCGTGAGAAAGTCGGCAAATTAGCATCGAAGCATTCTCGTTCTCGAAAAAATCGGTAAATCCGTCCCCACGGTCAACTTATTTTGTTAATATACTCCCGGTTATATATTATTTTATAACACGTTTTTTAGAATAACTTATTAATTTATTAATTATTAATATTCATTAATATAAGATAATTAATGAGATATTAATTATATTTTTTAATATTTTATTTTTATTTAAATTTATTAACTATAAGAGAGAATGTAATATGTTTGAAATTTTTTATTTAAATATGGCAAAATTTAAAAAGTTTATTCTATTTTAAAATAAATTTAATAATTTAATTATTTTTTCTGGATTTCAGTAAGATAATTAGATTTGTCTTATAATAAAATTGGAGGAAATATGTTAAAAAATTTTAAAATTTTATTTATAAGTAACTTTTTGTCACACATTTTTTCTTTTATTTTCATTAAATATTGGTGAGAGCAAGTACTTTATTAAAGTGTATATTTTCCTTCATTTTCAAATACTCCTTCTAATTTTTATTATTAGGTCAAAACAACTACTTCACCAGAGTTAAGAAAAATATAGTTAAACTATTTAATTAACTTTTTTTAAAAATAGAATAATTTTTAATTTTATTCTTGTTTAAATAAAATTGTTTAAAGTTTCCATCACATTCTCTCTTATATTTAGTGATCTTAAATATGGGTAACATTAAAATTATATAATTAATTTTTTATTAAGTGTCTTATATATTAAAGGTCAAACAATCATTTTACAGAGCGTGCTATAATTGAAACAAGAGAGAGTATAAGCAAATTTTAATTAATTCATACCCTTTAAGCAAAATTGTTAATTGTTAATTGTTAATGTTAATGTTAATATGTAATCAATCCACCACTTAGCTTGAAGCAAAAGCACCATTTTTTTTTTTTCCATTTGTTTGGACGAAAAAACACCATCGTTAATTATACTTGGTGAAGGTGACTCTACAGAAGGAGCATATCTAGAATAATCTAGAGATACATTTCACTCCCGCAAGTGTCGAGGATGATTAATGGTGACATTTATCATAATTTCCCCTGAAATGATTGCCGAGCAAGATTCCCCCACATGCAGGTCTAACTCTTGCTCACAGTGATCATCTGTGCCACTTATAAAGTGAAATGGTCCAGACCAGTTCGACACAGCTCCCTTGGTCTCTACGTTATATCTCTTTTCATAATAAAAAAAATATAATGTTTGTTACTGTTGGGAGAATGACAAGTAAAAACTTTATAAAAATATTAATATTAAATTAAAATTTTTTAAACACTAACATTCTTAAATTTAATACTTCTTCTCCCATATTTTAATATTAAAATTTTTAAGTCAATATTAATTTTCTTATATGATCCTTACTTGTCATTCTCTTATTATTATTTATTGCACAGTAAAACACTAGGAACATTGAAGTGTCATCATTTAATCTGTTATTGCTATTTTTTTGTTAAATGTATTTTATAATTTGTTTTAAATTTTATAATGATTTAAAGTTAAAAATTTAAAAATATGTGATCGTTACAAAATTAATTTTTATTGGTAGGACTGTGCTTTTTAATTTTGATATTGCATAGGTTAATTGCATATATTTTGTTGTCATAAAATTTTAATTTCATCTACTTTTTGAAAGATTTTGAGGGGAAAAAAATTTGCTCACTTCCTTCTTAGCTTAGATTTTCTCTCTCTCAAATTCGAATTCTCTCCATGTTTTACAAATCTTCTTTTGAATAATATGATTTCAACAAAAAAATTAAAGTATTAATATTGTAATAAGATATTATTTAAAAAATAATAATCTTTTATTACTTATTGACATTGTTGCCTGTAAGGTGGTTGGTCACCTAATAGTCTGTCACTTGAGAATTGGTAAATATAATATTTTGATATTTTATATGAGTAAGAAGTAATATTATCTTAACATTTTTTTTAAATTATATAAACTTAATTGGCATTAATTTTCCCATGAAAGATGATTTATTTATAATTTTCTTATGCACATTTTGTAACTTTCAGAAAATTTTAGTTTTCCCTTTCAACTAACGATTAAAATAATAGAGGTTTAATGGAGGGGCAACATTATACATTATACCTTTTTCTCATGTTTAATGTCATTATAATCAATACTCTTGAATGAATGATTTTTTTTAATATATTTCATTACAACCTTTGGATGTTCTACTATGTACAATAACGTACATTTTGCGCCATTAACACCATGAAATTAATAAGATCATCCTTATTTCTCTCCCCTAGCTAAATTCTCTCTCCTCTTATTTATCTCTTTGATCCCAAACCTATCTCTTGCAAAGTACTAAAAACCATATCAGTCATTAAATCGTATTAATTTAAAGGTTAGTGGTCCAACAGTCAACCCGGAATCAAATTCGTCACCGTTAAAATAATATAATTTAATTAAATATATAAAAATATTTATAATATTTCAATAAAAGTATTTAATTCTTAAGTAAATGAAAAATTTATCCATAAAACCCTCTACATGTCTTATATAAATAATACTTATAAGTTTCTAACCATAATAAAATACAATAGCATGAAAATTATTGGTTAACAAATTTATATTTGATTTAGGGTTCAATATTTAGAAGAAAAAAGAAAAAATAAAGAAAAATAAAAATAATAAAATTTGACTCAGGTAAACCAATTAACCTATCGAGTTGGTGGAGTTTATCTAGGTTGAAGCTAATTTGACCAAGTTAAAATCGGGTCATATGTGACTAGTTTTTTGAATCAATTGGACTAATTAGGTGGCCAATTCACTAGTTTACGAGTCAACTAGTCAAGGTCGGTTCGAGTTTACAAAACAATGATCTTTTGTTACATTCTTAATATGTTTCATATTCATAATAAAAGTAAAGTAGGAGAATTAGAAAAATAAAAAAAAAGAAAAACTTTTAGCCTTTTTGGTTTCTATTTTCATTTTTCATTTTTAAAAACTATTTTAAAATATAATTTTTAAAATAGTTTTTCAAAACAAGGAAAATAAAAATATGTTTAGTTATATTAATTTAAAAAAATTTTAAAATTAAAAAATAAATTGATAGTCACGATTGTAAGTGATTGATGGCAATAACTTATGATAGAAATTTATCAAATTAACTTTAATTTTAAATAATCAAATACAGTGTGTTTTAAAAATGAGAAAAATAAAATAAAAATAAATTAAGATGTTTTCATTTTTTGTTTTTAAAAATAAGAAATAAAATAGTTTGTAAAACAATTAAATCCAAAACATTTATCTAAACAAGTTTTTTATTTTTTATTTAAAAAACAGAAACCAAAAAGCTTTTATATATATCTACATTTACATTCTTTAAATACATTGCAAGCGTTGTTCACTAATGAACACATGACAAGTGTCTTTGTTTTTGTGGTACTAGCTTTTAATTTGAACAAACCCTATAATCAATTTTCCCCTGCCAGTTGATTGTTGACGCCATGCCCATGGCCCTCTTTCCTTCTCCTCAGATTCCCTCCCAGCAATCTTCTTACAAAGGTGCTCGATCATTCCATTGGATCAAATGCCAAGTGTGTGAAGTGATCTAAGAGACCACCTCTTAATATACTTCCTACCATTTCACATCTTACTCATATTCTATGTGTAATATCTTTATCAATTTCACTATCAATTGCATACAATTGATCCCAAATGCTTGAACTTGGTTGTGGCATCGTCTACTATTCAATCTATATACATATTTGCAATGGATTGGATCTATATATATATATATATATATGATACCTTATAATGCCATGTCATATTATCCTCTTTTGACATGGATAAACCCTAGTTTATGTGCGTGTGGAGGTGGAATCAACTAATAGAGTGGGATTTAGAAAGGAGAATTATCAGTGAGCTTGGCTTGCAATGGGAAGAATGGGAAGTGGCATTACTGCATGAAAAATTGATTACGTCGGTTATTTATGACTTAGAAAAAATATGACACCTATACTATTAATTGTGTGTGAACCATATCATCGTCGGCACAAATATCCCTTCATAAACATCACTTTAACCATTATCAGTTGTAATGATTTGTTAATGAAAAAAGTAAATATTATCCACTACCTTTCTACAAATAAATCCACTATAAATCCCTTTCATTATCCACTACCTTAGCTTTCTACAATATGGTGGGGATATTATAAGGAAAAATCAAAAATAAGGACCTTCAGAAATCAATAATATAATAATCATTGGGGACTGTACAATTTTAATTTGAAATTGAATTTAAGTAAAGTGGTTCTTTTTGCATGTAACGAATTATTGTTATGAATATAAAATACCCTTAAAAATAAGTGATTAAATGTGCATTTCAGATATGGAAATTTTAGTGATCAAAATATTATTTAAAAAAACCTGCAATAAAAGACAGTAGTCCTGAAATTCAAATTCAACATTTTATGGCTTCGAATAGTTATTATTGATTGTTGTAAGTCCTTAATTGTGATTTTCCCACATTATAATGAGTTTTTCGTGCTATGAAATACACACAGCAGAACGCTCGAGGAAGCATATTATGTTTTTGGAAAACATCTAAAATCAACAGTTTATTCATCAATCCAACACTTGAAACAGAAGCATCATTAACAATTAGACTTGTTGAAGGTGACACTGTAGAAGGATTCTAGCTAGCTAGGAATGATCTGGTGGCTTATTTCCCTTTCTTGATTGTGGAGGAGGATCATGACATGAATTACAATACCCTCCAAAATGATTACTGGACATGACTCTCACACGCATGCAGCTTCAACCCTTGTTCACAATGATCTTGTGTGCGACTTATGAAGTAAACAGATCCTGACCTGCTCAACGCTACCTTAGTATTTCCATTGTTAAAACCTTTAACAGGGTCAGATTCGTTGCGCACATTTATGATAATGTTTCTTTTTCACTTCTAGTATTGACTTTGATCCTTGATCGTACTTCTAGACTATAATCCAATTAAAAAACAAAACAAGAAAAATTTCAAGTG